AAATTTGTTATCAACTGATGCATGTCTTCTGGGAGAATAAATATCGATAGTCATTAGAATAATTAGATACTTTAAAATTCAGATAAAATTCATACAAAAACACTTTTCTTAATTAAACACTTTATATAACATTGATAACATGCAATATAAATCAAACATGTCTTAACGTGACTGTTTTCTTAAAGATATTAATAGCTAAGCATGTTAAGGTTTGAATAAAAATTTCAGCTATTAAGCTATAATCTCAATGCTATTTAATGACAAATTTATAACTCTGAATTTAATTCATGAAAATGAGCTTTATTTCTTTTCCGCATATATTGCATTTATAGTTAAGAATAAAAAAAGAAACAAGGGGCCTAGGTAGAACTCTTTTGGTATGATAGTGTATGTTTAGCGTGTACAAAGCCCTGGGCTCATCCCCAGCACACACTCAAAAAAAAGGGTCAGCCTCCTTCCGTTCCATGTCATGGTGGATGGAGCGTCAGTGAGCAGGATCTGTTTTCAAATTCTTTCTTTGTGAAAGAAACAGATACTATATTCTAATGTTATGCTGTTTGAAAAATTAAAGAAGTAAATAGTTGGAAGAATACAATGAATTTTTGAATCATATTAAAATGTAATCTAGTTTTCCAGGAATTCTGGTTGCTGTTTATTTTCTTTGTGTGTGTGGGTTTTTTTTTTATTTATTTTATTTAAGAAGCTGTTGTTCTGTAGCTAAGGCTGATTTTTAACTCACAGACCTCTTGCCTCTGCCTGAGCGATGAAATTACAGGTATGCACCAATATGCCTAGCTTGAGATGTGAGCTTTGGACTCAGAAAGCCATAGGATCAAATCATAGATTTGTGATGTTCTCATATTTAGTCTTTTTCAGATTTCCAGAAAGTGGTAAAAGTAGAAGTGAGGGGAACAAGTGCCTGGCACTGTGCCTGGAGCCGGTTAGTGCCCACAAATATCGTTGCCCCTCTTCTTTTATCTTCTGTCTTTTCTGAATCAGGTGAACTTTGACTCTTCATATTATTGGTTAAAATGAGTTACTTAGGGTGACTTTTCCAACATATTTCAAAAAAAAAAACATAAGAGTAGACTCAAGGAAATAATTAATGCCTTTCATTCATTCCACCATACTCACTATTCCTCAGAAAGAATGCCCTGTGCCAGAGAAACTTAGTCCAGAAGCATTTTTAAATTAATATTTAAGTCAATATTAAAGTTATTCTAGTTTTATGTATAAAACTGTGCCTGTGTGCACTGCTGTCTCTCAAGAAGCCATCGCTCCATGACACCTCTGTGTTGTGCCTAAGCTAACATTAAAAGGAACACTATGTAAAGTTTAGTTATTGTGATAGATTCGGTACTAAAACGACCATCTTTCTTATCCTACTTAAGCTGAAGTTTTGGAAACATCACAGATATTTTAGATTGTAAATATTTCTTGCATTTGCTGAATAGTTATGGAAAAGTTACTTTTAAATTAACATATTTTCAATAACTATCTTTTATTTTTATTTTACAAATTAATTTTCCATTTCCTAAATATATTTTTCTGTCATTGAATTATTCTGTTGCTGTCATTGCTGATTTACTAATGCTCTCAGGGGTCGGGCCTAAACATGAGCTCATTTAAAGAGTGCAGCCGTGATACATCTGTCTGTCATTAAAAAAAACCATTTTAAATCTCTTGCAATATTGAAGTTTTTATGCATTAGAAATAGAAATAGTCTTGGAAGGGTCAGAAATAAAGAGACATTGGGATAATAAGGCTAATTCTAAAGCACTTTGTCATTACAACAAGATGGAAATAAATATCCAAGTACAGATGGGTTACACTGAGTCAGTTTTGATATTTATGGGGAACAGGAGTAGTTTCAACACAAGTAAGGCTTTTATTTGGAGCTGTCTCCTTAACTTCAGTTTTCGTAAGAGCCATTTTAATAATGAGTTCATAATGAGTATTTCATATGTATTAAATAAGCGAGTGACACCAGTTTCAAATTAGCCCAGATAACATAATTTAGGAAGTTAAAATATACATTAGAATCCAAACTCACAAATTTTTGATGCTGGTAATGCTAGAGAAAAAAATGTAACAGTTGAATATATTTTACTTTCACTTAGCTTGCTTCAAAACTCAGACCAAGACATTTTCATAAGAAAGCATCCAGCTTGGTTTGTGGCCCTAGCTGATCTTTAATCTTCCTCATAGGTCCTTCTTCCATTGGCTAAATCCCTTATTCCTCCGAAAACTATAATTCATAAGTTTACTATTGAACAAATACATGCACACCCTTATCTTTTCTTCAATGCATCTATCAATTAGAAAAGGGGGATCATTTTCATCTTCAGTTGCTAAATATTATGTTGAGTTACTGAAAAATTACTGAATTATTCTGGCAATTAAGCACAAGCAGAAATAAAACAAAATATTTCCAAAAATCTATTCAGAAGTTTTATTTTAATTCGATGGGGTTAAGGCCAGAATCTCTTGCAGTCAACTGTTCTCTTCAGACTGTGAATCATGTTTGAATTAGGTAAGTTGATAGTTATTTGCCTAGAGGATCAGATGTTTGTTATTTTGGTGTCATAAAAAAAAAGCAATGACTGTGCATATAGTTTCTGTGTTCTGTCTTCAGTTCCAGAACAATTTTAAGGTTAATCATTCCAAGTAAAGTTTTTAATACCATTGGGCTTGTGCAAATATTGGTAGACTCAGCTCTTCATTATTGAAGAACGAGCAGCCCATCTAAGTTACGATCATTGTAGCTGAGATGGTATAACAATTTGTAAACTCCAAATTGTTCCTAAAAATGTATTTAGTTTCCATTTCCTGGTTTAAGATGTTGGACCACACCAGATAACTTTTCAGTTCTTTAGATGGTGTGGCGCTCGACGTTTGAAATGTGTGTAATGAACAAGAACGACCTTCAAGCTTTTTCTAATCAGGAAGAATGAAAAGTATTGCTTCTGCTGTCTCCTGTTTCTACGAGGTATGAATCGATCAAGGTTATATTCTATGGGAAGTTATGTTGTATGTTATAGTTTTAATAATTAAAATGACTAAAATTGACACAGAAGTTGAATTTTACCACAGTTTTCTTTACACATTTTGCTACTGACCTTCTGGAAATAAATCCAACATAAAAATAAACACTAAAAATTACAAAAATTGAAGTTTATAAATACTGGAAATCTAGTCCATCTTATATCTTTGAGAGTAAATTATCAAATTAACTCATGTACCTCTTTTTTTTAACATTAGAAATTTTCAGAAACGAGGTCCATGGTTTGACAGGATTAGCTAAAGAGATGTTATTTTCTGTCTATCTTAGATGCTTTCTGCTTTGACTGGATGTTCATGTTTAATATCTTACTGAGGAACTTTTCTAAATTCTCAATTGCCAATCTTTTCATACTAAAATATTTTCTCCAATGGGCACTAGGTAGCACTGATGCTTCTCCCTCATCAACCTGTCAGTTTTCCTTTTTGCCTTTGTTGTCATAAATCTATTCCTCCTGAGGCCAATCCCATCGGATGAAAACCCTGGCAAGGCAGCTGACCCGTACGATGTGGTCTTATTCAGAAACCCTGTCGTGTTTACTTGCTTTTCACCTGTACTACCCTTTATTAATCCAAGATTTCTACATATCCTTTGATAAAAAGCCCAGTTAACTTGCACTGGTCGACTGATCCACATAAATAGCTGTTATTAATTCATAGACTTTTAAAAGCGCCTCTGCCAGAATCATCCCTATATCTTACATCATTTCTCTTCAATACTTGATGTTCCTGGTTTACTACTGAGATGAACTGAAGTAGGCGTTAGAAATAAAACTTCAAGTAGCAAACCGCAACGCGGTGAGGAATACTCGTGGCTTAGCATACCCACCAGCTCCTACTTTCAGTCTAAATCTGAGTTCTACTTTTAAAAAAATTCTCCAGAAAAGCTTTTTTCCCCCCTTAAAGAATGTTTTAAATGCTTTGTGTTGTGGCAACTGTGACAGAAAAGCTAAAATCATATGAGCCACGGTAGTTTATTTTATTTTAGTTTTACAAGTCTGATCTAAATTTCGTTTTAAAGGCACAGCGAAACCTTGTCTGTCTTCCCACTCCGTTGGCTGGTAGCTTACTCCTTAAGTAAGTTGCACATTTTATAGCAGCAAAATTAAACGGGAAACCGGGTGAACAGGGACGCGCCACAGAGGGCAGAGAGCAGTGGGTGCAGGCCGGTGAGCTCAGGGGTCCCTCTTCCCAGCTCTCGCAGGCCCTCCTGGCTTTTCCAGTATTCTTTCTCAGGAGTCACACAAGGCAGCTGAGTTCACAGCTGGAACAACGTGTTGCACCGTGAACCCCAGCGATTTACTCAAGTAGCAAACAGGGTTACCGGCTTAACTGCAATCTCGGTTGCCAGGCGAACTAGGAATCACCAGCCCTGGTCCAGCGACATGGGTAAAAGTGCTTCCGCTGCTTGACAGAATGAACATGACGCAGAGGGGAATGGACCTGCAGGACACGGATCACTCTTCCCCCACTTCTCGTCCCCAGCCTCTGTGCCTGCCGGAGAGCCTAGGGCTCCCTGGGTATGTGCCCAAGAACCATGCCAGTCCATCCTTCCAAGTGCGTGAGAGGCTCCACGCAGCCCGCTCCTCAGCTTGGAGGCTGCTCCTTTGTTTACCATATAAGTCACACCAGGGGTTCACTCCTTGCCCTCTACCGTGCCGTACAGGCGGGTGCAGTGGGGGCCTGAGGGGCGCCCCCAAACTCCCCCTCGGCTCGGATCAGCCCCAGACAGCTTCGCGAAACCGTCCCCCGAGCCCTGAAAGGCTACCAAAGCTGCCGGACCCTTGTGAACTAGTAGGAAACTAGTAACCCCCAGGGATGCCCGCCCCGGGGAAGGGAGCCGGCTTCGCGGGTGGCTTGGGAAACTTGACCGAGATCCCGCGAAGGGAGGCGAGTTGTCCTTCCCGTGGAACCAGCGCGAGCGCTGCACCCTCTCTTACCTGCAAAGTTGCGATCTGGCGGTGGAAGTGATCACCGAGGGCGCGCAGTACCGGTGTTCCGCCGGGTCCCCGCACCGCCGCTAAATTCCGATGGGATTTCCGTAGTCTCCGGCGAGTTTTGGAGCATTCCAAGGAAAAAGCACCAAGCCCGAGCCCACGCAGCTGGCACGGAACTGGGCGGAGTGAGGATGCTGGAGAGAAGAGCAGGGGCGCGGGGGAGGGGCGGCACGGGAGGGGGCGGTGTGCCCGCCGACAGCAGCCTCGCCCACCCCGCCCCAACGCGGCGGCGGGCAAAGTTCCCACGGTGGCTGCGGAGGAGCAGAAGAAAGGTCCCCGCCCGGGCCCCGCGCCTGCTGCCCCGCGCTGGGTCCGCCCCGACAGCCCGGGAAAGATGCGCGTCCCACGCACCTCTCCGCGAAGCGGCGGAGGGGACCCGCGCACGGCTGAGGATGACGCCCGGCTGCGCCACCCCGGGACAGCCTCCACCTCCCTGGCCCACAGGTCAGACAGTGGGCAGGGTGGCTCCCCACACGCCAGCAGTCATCCTGCCAAGTCAGTAGCGGGGACCGACCCCGTTGTCTGGGATGCCTGCCAGACACACCTCCTTTGGTGGAGCTCCTCGGGGATGCTGGACCAGCTGGCACCAGGACTCAGCACTGTAAAGCCCTGCTCCCACCCTAGTAAACAAACACCCATGCGGCCTGTCGCCCAACGGGACAAAGTAACACCCTTACTCCCCGCCCCCAACTCTCAAAGCTGCCCCCCTCACGCCGCTCTGCGCACCCTCTCTCCTGTCCTCAAGGTGTCAGGCTTCCCTCGCAAGTACTCAGATGTGGCTTGCCACTACTGTCAAGATAGAAACAGGAAACAGTCGCAATGAATAAATGATGAGCCACAGCTTCCCATCCACCCCCACTCAGCTGGGTCTTTTAACTGGCGTAGGAAACCAGCTAGTGTCCAAATAATTAAATCCCAAGTCCCAGGCCAGTCTAGGTTCCCTGGCTGCAGGTGTTTGTGTGCCTGTGCATGTGTGTTACTAGAATTAGCATAGCATAATCTTGAGATTTCAGGATAAGGTTATCTGCTGGTCAATCTGTGTAGTGCTCATACACGAAAATAAGATCGAAGTGCAGAGACAAAAAATTATGTCTGTCTGTAGTCAGAGTCTGTGATGACTTACTTGTAGCTTGTCACACTCAGCGATTTTGGTCCTGATCTCATGACCCAGCGAATAAACTTGAATCTATTTGAAAAATAGACAGCAGCATCCAGGTGGAATTTTAGTCAGAAAGAAATCACCTTCTTGCAACCCTTCACTTCTATATGGTTTCCTTTAATTTCAGAGCCCAAGGGGTGAGCTTCCCTTGCCTGGCCTTTGGCATCCAGAGGGCAGCACCTGTCTCCAGGCCCAGCTTTTTAGAAGCGGTGCTCTGCTACCAGAGGAGGACCAGTTCTCTCCCACGGATATTCCCCAAGGAACAGAAACCAGGACTCACACACAGACTCCAGGGTGCAGAATCAAAGAATTTCTTCTTGTTTATCCCCTGCTCCATAGTTCTGAAGTTCAGATGCGTTGAGTATTTTTGCATGTCTGTTTAAAGGTATTTACAGAAGTAAAGAGGATTTGTAGCACTCTCTCCCTGGAATGAAGTGCATGACTTCCTTCAAAATGGCTGTTCATAATTTTCGATTTATCTTTCCCTCTTGCTAGCTGCTCTTCTCATGGGTCAACATGACCCTTGTCCTGAATTTGTAGGAGCACAGCCTACAGTCCATCCCATGAAATACTGAGGTTTTTCGAACAGACTAAAGCAAACCTGCCCCCCAAAACAGAAAGAACAACAAAGCAATTTCTTTCCTTCTTTGAATTTCTTTTTACATTTTGCTACAAATATATGTTAACATTTTCAAAGGTTCTTTACTTTTCTTAGCATTAAACTCTGAATTTTATAAAATATGCAAAACACATCTATCTGCAGACTTGGTAATGAATTTTATAATAAATCTAAATCTACTTTCCATTTAACAAGAAAAGGGAAACAATATATATGGAAATCTGCTTTATGTAATTCAATTGAAAGTATTTTTTTTAATTCTTCACGAAACAGCTCATTTTCTCAATGATAAATAAAAGTCTAAGAAACAAAGTGAAGCCGACTAACATTGATTGATGGAATATGTCAGCTAAAAAACCTAAATTCTACATTCTGTGATGAGTGTAGATCCTTATTCCACCTTTAAAGACATATGCAAAATTAAGTCAGATCAATGAAAGCACATGCTACAGTATTGTAGAGATCATGAACTAGAGTTTACAACCTTAATATCTATGTCAGAGTCCCTCCTGCCTCTCTCACGATATCTTCCTCATAGCAAATACCATTTCCATCATGATGTCAGAGACAGATGTTTTCCCATTTTCCCCTAATTTGTTATTTTTCCCAAAAGAAAGGTGGCTATAGTCTACAATAAAAGCAAAATAGAAAAGAACATTGAGAACAGCAAAATTCACGTCAGTGCTTTTAGCAGCCTGTGTTCCTGTGGAAAGCAGAGATTTCTATTGATCACTGAGCCTTTTTTTTCAACAGCTTCATGAGATTATTGATTGCTGATCTCGAGACACACAAAATGATTAGCAATTGTACCAAGAAATGAAGTCTACTTAAACAGTCCAGTGAACTGCATATCATTAGCAATCCGAAGAAATTGTTCAGTTACAAAATAGAGTCACATCATTTGAGAAGCCTGCACACCATTTAAAAGGTAACTTCCTGAAGCCAAAGAAACTTACACTCAAATAGAAATTCTACTTTGGAATTTAATTTTAGTAAGTGATTCAAGAAAACAAGGAAATAGCCTTGTTTTGAAATTAGCAACAGACAGGTAACTCAAGAAATGATAGGATACACTAAGACAAATTATCTGCAATACCTATTCACAGTTAAAATGTATCCTGGGATTGGTATCACAATTGTATCAGGAACTGAATTTTCATCCTCTAAAGCTTATTTTTCCACTTAAGAGTTGGAATGTAATGCGTACTTTCCTCCAAAAAGTGTAAGAAGCAAAGTCACAGATACGGGTATTTGGAAGTTTATTTCTGTATATGAACCAGTAATCATTTTCTGTGATGGTGATGTATGATGCCATCATCAAGTATCTGACACTTGCCTCTTCTTATCACAGGCACTGCTGGGAAACAGGTGAGCATTGACTTTGAAGCCTGTGTGATATGCTTTCTGCCTCTTTGAGCAACATTCTCTCTCCATCATTCCTAACAGTGGCTCCCAAGACCTTTCACTGAAGGACAACAGCCTCAGTTTACCTTCCAGGTGTTAGCTCCTGCTGGAGGTTTTTGCATCCCTTCCTGTACCATCAATTGTTATGAGGTTGTGATGCATTTTGCTTAGACTATGCTACAAACAGTTTTCTACCCACATATAAATATATTAATATAAGCTATAATATACACTAACGTAATATGTAATAATATATAA